TCACTAAGAGACATTTATTGGCAGCTATTGTAATAAAATTGTATTGATTGTGGGTTTAATCTGGAATGATTCAAATGAAATATTCAATATGTCCTCCTTTGTCCTCCTTTTTGTCTTTCAATGTCCTCCTTTTAGTACCTGTGTATCTGGCAACCCTACTCTAACATAACTGCTCAGTCATCAAGTCCAAGGCACCCATCACTGCTGATGCTAGAGCTCAGCAAGAATGTGTGTGTGTTGCTCTGTTTCTGGCATATCGTCACACAAACGTTGGGCCCATTGTGCCATTTGGAGCAAGGCAGGGAGTGATGCGCCAGCATTGCAACTTATGAGTAGACATGGGGCTTTCAGATTCTCTCCCTCTCTCCCCCCCCCACTACAGCTACAAGAGTTCAGCAGAAATCAGACAGAATTCTGGTATTTTTAGCCAAAGAATCTAGGTTTTCAGAAGAGTCTCAGGAAACACCTGCTCTTTGCAAATGTTCTGCCTGTGGTAACAGCTATTAAGCATGGAGACTGACATGGGTGGAGCAAGCCACCAAAATCAAACGGCCTCATCCTCCAGCACTGCTCCTCTGGGGATGTGTCTGCCCACCTGGAGACTCAGGTAAGTACAGCCGTCCCCAAGACTTTGGCCACTGCCCGGAGATCCATCAGTCCTACTTGCTTGTCCTCTTACCTTGGTGGTCCGGATAAAGCACCATATAGAGCAATGCCCAACAGAGGGTGGTACTGGACGTCTCGGTCCCACCCAAGAAAAGGTCAAATATACTCTGGATCATATTATTTTCGTCATAGGCTGGTTTGGGCTGGTCTTTGGTCTGTAGATTTAACAAAAACAAAGTGTCTTGTCAAACCGTTCGAGGTGCTTCTCGGCTTCAACCTAGAAAATGTCTAGGGTTTGAAGCTTGACGAATCCCTGTCCAGGAGAAAGCATTGTAACTGGGAATAACACCAGAGATGCTTGTTGCTTGCAAGCAACCCGGCACAAATGACAGGAAGACAAATGAAGACAGCTACTTGTGAATAGCCCCTGTGCTGCACAAATCACACCCTCTGTGATCAGGACCTGCTCCATTCTTCTCAAGCCTCCTCAGGAGGAACAGGGTAACAAGCAGTGAGAGGCTCCAGGAAACAGAAAAGATGACTGAAGATGAGTCACTCCTGTAGGATTAGGCATCCTTCAGTCTTGAGAGACTATGGTAACGTGCTCTGAATGGAGGTCTTGGAACAGCGTCTAGTGTGTGGCTGAGAAGGCCAGTTCAAGAGTGACCATCCCTTCCACACTGAAGACAAATCCAGTCTGTCCCCTGTCCAGCTCCCTGGTTTTGCTGCTTGCGGGACTGCCTCTTTGCCTCAGCCTGCTGGACAAGGGTCTCTTCAAATTGGGAGAGGCCGTGATGCACCGTCTGCCTCCAGGCTGAACACTCAGAGGTCCAGGTTTCCCATTTGTTGAGGTCCATTCTTAAGGCCTTCAAATCCCGCTTGCAGATCTCCTTGTATCTTACAGCTGGGGTCACCCTCTGGGGCGCTTTCCCTGCACTAATTCTCCATACAGGAGATCCTTTGGAATCCGACCATCAGCCGTTCTCATGACATGCCTGAACCTGTAGGACTCAGACTTTAAAGGGTGATCCACTCATCAGGGAATTGCATCCTCAACATCTTTTAGGAAAGTGCAATATCAGGCTAAAGAAAATGAGCCTACTAATCCAACAGCATCATTTCCAGTGAGACAGGTTGCTTAGGGCTAGGAACCTCTTCAACAATCCCCTCATCAGGAGGAACAGGGTAACAAGCAGTGAGAGGCTCCAGGAAACAGAAAAGATGACTGAAGATGAGTCACTCCTGTAGGATTAGGCATCCTTCAGTCTCGAGAGACTATGATAACGTGCTCTAAATGGAGGTCTTGGAACAGTGTCTAGTGTGTGGCTGAGAAGGCCAGTTCGAGAGTGACCATCCCTTCCACACTGAAGACAAATACAATCTGTCCCTTGTCCAGCTCCCTGGTTTTGCTGCTTTCGGGAGAGCCTCTTGGCCTTGGCCTGCTGGACAAGAGACTCTTCAAATTGGGAGAGGCCGTGATGCACCGTCTGCCTCCAGGCTGAACACTCAGAGGTCCAGGTTTCCCATTTGTTGAAGTCCATTATTAAGGCCTTCAGGTCCCACTTGAATAAACGCAGCTTTATATCTAATTTAGTTTACATAAAATAAAAATAAATAAGGCCTCCCTTATTTCAATTTCATTCTCCTTTTTAATATACAGAATATACTTGATTCTCCATCCAGGAGATCTTTTGGAATCCGACCATCAGCCATTCTCACGACGTGCCTGAGCCTGTAGGACTCAGACCTTAATGGGCGATCCACTCATCAGGGAATTGCATCCTCAACATCTTTTAGGAAAGTGCAATATCAGGCTAAAGAAAATGAGCCTACTAATCCAACAGCATCATTTCCAGTGAGACAGGTTGCTTAGGGCTAGGAACCTCTTCAACAATCCCCCTTCGCTAACTCCTACGAAGACTACTTGCCCCATTCCTTCTTGTTTTAAACATTTCATTAGTTTTCCGGTCATGATTTCCCTGCACTGATTCTCCATCCAGGAGATCTTTTGGAATCCGACCATCAGCCATTCTCACGACGTGCCTGAGCCTGTAGGACTCAGACCTTAATGGGCGATCCACTCATCAGGGAATTGCATCCTCAACATCTTTTAGGAAAGTGCAATCTCAGGCTAAGGATGATGAGCCTACTAATCCAACAGCATCATTTCTAGTGAGACAGGTTGCTTAGGGCTAGGAACCTCTTCAACAATCCCCCTTCGCTAACTCCTATGAAGACTGCTTGCCCCATTCCTTCTTTTCGTCAGGGTAAGCTGCCTTCACACAAGGAGACACCCCAGTAAAGACTTTTCAAGTCGTGTTAGATTCCTTGCCTCCTTCTCCCCCCCCCCAGCAACACACCCTCTGTTTCCTGACAGCTCTCACAGTCCCACCACCAGCATTCCTTGCTATGCCTCAGTGGCTTTCTGTGCTCCCGTTTGCCTAGAAAGAGAGCAGACGATTCGGCCAACAGCCTCGAGCTGCGGCAGAAGGAGGCCAGGCCATCTACGCATGGCGACGTTGACCCATTTCTCTCCTTGACCTGTCTGTGAAAGCGTCTGAATCTGTGGAGGGCTTCCCTCACTGGCTTCCCTCACAGAAAGGTTTCTTTCTCACAGACAGTAGGTCAACGCGGGGACTGTACATTTTGCCCTGTACGTCCAGTTCTGTAAGAACTGGAAAGAGAACTAGAAAGGGGCGTGAACCAAAAATAGGAGACAGAAAAACGGATGAACTGGGCTGATTCGTGATTCGCTTCGTCATGAACCAATTTGGGGATCCTGTTTTGCCGAAGCAAAATGAGGCACCAAACATTTTTCCCCCCCCAGGGCCCTTCATTTTGCTTCAGCCAAATGGATGCCTACTTCCCCCTTCCCACTGGCCCCATCGCCTTCCTACCTAGTCCTGCCATGGCCGCGGCTGCCAACGCCATCAGAGACATGGGGGCAGCTTCCCTCCCGGGAGCTAGGCCAGCTGCTCCTGCACATGCCCTTGTAGCCCAGCAGATTGGGGCTCCTGGCAGGGAAGCTGACTGCCGCCTTCTGCGCATGTGCCCACAGCCCCGCTGATCAAGGCATTCAGTTTGGGGTTGGTCGGAGGTGCAGAAGACAGCACCCAAGCTCCTGGAAGGAAAGATGTGCCACCGTCACTGGTGTCGAAGCGGTCGCAGGCCAGCGGTGGTGGGATAGTGGCAACGGGCAATGGCGCAATGATGGTGGCATGACAGGAGCAGGTAGCGCCCCCCCCACACTGGAAACCAACCAAAAACTAAACCATGAACTGGTTCATTTTTTCAGTTGTTTCCTGGTGGCTAACCACAAACTCTGAACCACATTTTTTCCAGGTTCATGCCTTTCTCTAAACAGGAAGCTAGATCAGATGATGGTTCAAAGGGGCACCAGGGCTGGCACTTCTGAAAGTGGAGAAAAGCAAACCAACTAATTATGACAAACCTACCTTGGGCCAACGCCCAAGTCAATGTTTTCCTGGTTATCCTAATTACTATGGCACAGTATCTCCCTTCTAATACTATGATACCTTTCATTGTATAGCTGCTGGTTTAGCTCAGTGGTTTAGGTCTCTGCCTGTGGAGCCAGAGGTTGGGAGTTCGATTCCCCACTGGGCCTTCCTGATATGGGCTTGACACCGTGTTCCATAAGGTCCCTCTACCGCTGCAGTTTTAAGATTATTATACAGTGGTGCCCCACACGACGATGATAATCCGTCCCATTGAAATTGCTGTTTAGCGAAATCATCATCATGTGAAATCTGTTTCCTCATTGGAATGCATTGAAAACCGTTTAATGCGTTCCAATGGGGAAAATACCTCGTCGTCCAGCAAAGATCGCCCATAGGGAAGCCATTTTGTGAGCGCCAATCAGCTGTAAAAATGGCTGTCTTGCGAAGCATGGGTCTGGAAAACACACGGCAGCCATTTTGTGAAGCCGACGATCAGCTGTAAAAATCGTCTTGCGAACAAACGGTCCGCGAAGCATGGACCAAATCAATGTCCAGCGAAAATCCCCCATTGGAATGACTGTTTTGTGAATCGCTATAGCGATCACAAAAAGTCATCGTTATGCACATTTGTTGTTTAGTGGGGTCATCGTCTTGCGTGGTACCACTGTAATAGGTCCTCAGGATAGTTATGGTCATCATAAACAGATCATCTACCTACTTTCTCCATTTGAGCCAGGTAAAAATCAATGAAGTCTTGAGGGTCATCCGGAACCCCTGCATCCTGGTGTTTAGCGATCTCCTTTTTTATGAATGAACACACAAAGTCCCGGGCAGACAAGGCCTTTTGGTGGGGTCCTGGCAGATGACGCATCAACCAAGGGAAAACATCATACATCTGGGAAAGAGACAGATCAGAGACATGGAAAGGATGGGGTCCTTGAGATGTCACATATGGGACTCACAGAATCACCTTTACATAAAGGGACACTCCAGTTATCTTTGCCCTGGAGTGCTGGCGTGGATCTTTCAAATGATTATCCAACTCCCTCCTCTGGGAGGCCTGCCAGACCCAAATATATTTTAATTGTAAGGTAAGTTAAGGCTGTTCCAGAAATCAGCTACGAGATAGTGAGCTCAGGTAGTCGCTGGGTGCTATTATTCCGTGAAAGAAGTTTTAATTTGCTATTTCATAATATTACTGCCTTCCAGGTAGTAATTACTTTTCAGGCTGGGTGGCTGTTTTATTGTCTGTCACACTGCAGTCTTGAAAGCCGGCAGACTTTCAACAATGATGAAGAGGTTCCAGCTGAAAGGAAGGAGACATTTTAATATACATCAGCCAGAGATTGTTTTTTTTTTTTACATATGGAAGTCAAGCCCTGCGTAACACTTACATAAATTGTGTTACATGGCAATGCCTATTGTTTAAGTTCTTAATAGTCAGATAAACGTAACCTATTTTTTTTCTGTTTCCAATTTCACATCTTGTATCGTATCTTGTTTTAGCATCAACTACATGCCGGGAAGTGAAAGGACTGGAATAGATTGCCAACCGTAAGGCTTAGAGATGGGGGTATTCCTACTCGTATATGAATACGAATATTCGCACAGGTGGCGTGAACAAGGGTCCACTCACTGATCCACCGCGGACGCAGACTGCACGATTCTACCAGTGGCTCTGCAGCACACAATCTGCTCACCACGCTTCAACCTTGCAGCGAGGATGGTGCTCCCACCTGCTGCCAGGAGCGGTGAGCAGATCGGATGCTGCAGAGCCACTGGTAGAATCGTGCGGGCCATATCCGTGGTGGATTGGTGAGTGGGGCTGGACCCTCGGTAATGCCACGTGTAACACTACCTGTGTGGGGATATTCGTGTTCATATACGAATACCCCTATCTCTAGTAAGGATGTGTCACAAGAGACCGAGACCAAGATCACTGAAATACGATGATAAAGAGGCAACCCAAAAAAATTGCTTTACAGTGGTGCCTCGCATTACAACATTAATTTGTTCCAGCGAAATCGCTGTAGAACGAAAACGTCGTAATGAGAAAATAAAAAACCCATTGAAACGCATTAAAACCCGTTTAATGCATTCCAATGGGCTAAAAACTCACCGTCCAGTGAAGATCCTCCATAGGGCAGCCATTTTCAGTGGCTGTCTTGCGAGGAATCCATTCCAGAAAACAGCAGGGAGCCATTTTATTTACCCAGCGGCCATTTTGAAACCGCCGATTAGCTGTAGGAAAATCATCGTTTTGTGAAGAATCGGTTCCTGAAGCAGGGAACCAATCATCGCAAAGTGAAAAAAGCCTATTCAGACCATTGTTTTGTTATCGCAAAAGTGATTGCAGAAACGTCATTGTAATGCGGTTTCGTCGCAATGCGGGGCAATCGTAAAGCGGGCCACGACTGTACTCACAACTTGTGTGGCACTGCCACCGATTTTAAATATAGGATCCATGGCTTCCAGCAGTTGATGAAAAGTCTCATCCTTCGTGGAGAAGCGATGCCCAAAGACCACAGCACAAATCACATTTGAAACAGCAAGGCTGAGTGCAAAAGAAGGATTCATGGGTTTTCCTGCAGAGGGAGATATTGGTGATGATAGTAAGCTTAAATGTAAGATAGGGTCAATGAATGAGACCCTGCAGTCCAGGATGTCTCTGGTGCAAATATTTTGAAAGAGGCAGCCTGCTACCAGCAAGGGAGCGCCACCTCTACCCTCAATTTTGGGATGAGGCAACCTTCTGCTCATCCACGCACGGCTGCTCCAATTTTTTAACAGCCATGAACTCAGGTTGTTCAGACTGCTGTCTGGGTGCTTCATCCTGTCTACCCCATTTCCTCTTAAATATAGAGAGGATGGTGGTGTATCTTTTAGATCTGTCAGAGCAGTGACTGAGGACAGAACAGTGTTTCTCAGCTCATGCATAACTGCTACAGTAAGCAACAGCTGTGTGGCCACCTCTTTTCTCACTAGTATTTTTTAGCAATGCAGAATATTTATTTATTCATTCATTCATTCATTGGACTTATCTCCTGCCCATCTAATGGTGGCTTACAGAAAAATGTGCAACAGGATCATTTATTCTTTTATTCATTCATTCATTCCTTGGACTTATCTCCCACCCATCTAATGGCGGCTTACAGAAAAATGTGCAACAGGGTTGCACAAAATAATGTTTGTTAAGATAAAAACAACAATAACAAAATAAGAAGCCAAGTATCATAAACATAAATGAATAACACATAATAAACCGCCCAAGGAGGGTGACACCACATCAACTAAAATTTACACAAAAAGGTTTGAAATGTCTCTCATGAGGGGAAAAATGGACCCAAACGCCTATTTAAACAGCACTGTTTTCATTTGTTTCTTGAAGAGGTTGGCCCCCATCTGCAGGCATTGAATTCGATAATGTTGCGGCCACCACCAAAAAGGCCTGGTTCATGGTGGATGTTTTACAGGTCTCCCTCGAGTGGCCACCCACAAGAACACAGCCTGAGATGATCAGGTGGCAGAGTAGTAGATCTTAGAAATAGGTAAAAGTAAAGGTTCCCCTTGACATTTGGTCCAGTCGTGTCCGACTCGAGGGCGCAGTTCTCATCCCCGTCTGTGCCCTCGCAGAAGCCTCTGTGCTGCAAGGTCAGAAGACCAGCCATCGTAAGATCAAATCCATGCAATGGAGTGAGCTCCCATCGCTTGTCCCAGCTCCTGCCAACCTAGCTGTTCAAAAGCATGTAAAAATGCGAGTCGATAAATAGGTACCACCTCAGTGGGAAGGTCATGGAGTTCTGTGTCTAATTGCACTGGCCACATGACCACGGAAATGGTCTTCAGACAAACACTGGCTCTACGGCGTGGAAACAGGGATGAGCACCACCCCCTAGAGTCAGACACGACTGGATTAAATATCAAGGGGAACCTTTACCTACACCTACCTGTTCCCTATATTTAGATCGAGATGGAAGCTTCCATCAGCACCAATGACAAATCTCAGCCTTGGCATGGAGATGGGACATAATTTTCTAGCCCTCCACCTTAGTTCCTAGGTTCCCTTGAGGTTTAGCAACAATTACTATAGTTCCAGTAGGCTATGCAATTACATTTTAGAGATACCTCCTCCATCAAGAGAAGATAATGATCCCACAGACATTTACATAGCCCAGATAACATCAGCCTGTTTTGACATTTCACTTGAATCGTGGGATGTCTCAACTAGCTTACACAACCAGGCTTCGAACAACAATGATGGGACACCAAAACATTTTCATGGAGTTATGTGGTAAGAGAAACCGGGAGGCACTTTCCTGCGTTAATCTGCTGAGCGATCATGTGACTTGCACTGAGCCAAAATCAGCAGGCATCTAAGAAAAGCCACTGGCTAAACCTGTTCTTATTATTTTTAAAAACTGGTGCAAAAAGGCCCTTGCGTTTGGTTAAGAGTGTGGGAGATGATTTTAGAAGGGGAACACCAACTGAAATGGCAATTAAAAAAATAACATGTTTCCCACAAGACTTTTCTTTTCTTTTTGTTAACAACATGTTTCCCACAAGACTTTTCTTTTCTTTTTGTTAAAAGCTTTTTTTTAAGGCAACTGTCTTGGGGAAGATGGATCAAAGGAATGCATGCGGTGTGCCAGGGTTAAGTTGAGCAGATGAGTGGTCCTCAGTTCCATAGAACTTGCCTATCCCAAGTTAGAGTAACTGGTTAAGGTTAGAGAGGTTCATGTTGGCATTCAGCTGTGAAGCACATTGGGTGACCTCAGAAGTCTCTCAAACCTTGCCTGCCTCTCAGGGCTGTTACGAGGACATTTTGGTCAGGAATGAAGGAAAACATCTAGGCTGTCCATGAGCTTTCTGCCTGTAGACATTTTCTGTATGTCTTCACAGTACCTTTGGTTTCTCGGAAGGTTTCCACCAGGTGGTGAGCCTCCTCTTGTATCTGATACTCCATACTTCTCTTCCCCAGACCCAAGCTCTTCAGAGTCATCAAGGAAAACCGCCTCTGGTGTTTCCACGTGTTGCCAGTGGACAGCAAAATCCCTGAAACCATCAAATATCCACTACTGTGAAGGTTACATCAGTTACTGATTTTCACTGTGAATGTAAAATCTATGTCTCAGAATAGCAATATAAGTGATTCACTGCAATAGCGATATAGCGATAGAAGTGATTCACTGCAATAGCGATACAGTGGTGCCTCGCTTAGTGATGTTAATTCGTTCCACAAAAATCACTGCAGAACAAAAACGTCGCTAAGCGATATAAAAAAGCCCATAGAAATGCATTAAAACGCGATTAATGTGTTCCTATGGACATAAAACTTACCTTTAAGCGAAGATCCTCCATAGCGCCACCATTTTCAGTGCGTCTAAAGCGAAGAATCCATCCCTAAACACAGCGGGCAGCCATTTTGCTTACCCGGTGGCCATTCTGAAACTGCCGATCAGCTGTGTGAAAATGAGTGCTTTGCGATGATCGCTTCCCTGCGAGCATAACAAAGAGAAAATAGCCCATAGGGACCATTATAAAGCCATCGCTTTTGCAATGGCAAAAAGTCCATCGCAAAGCGATTTCTTTGCTAAGCGGAGCGATCGCTATGCGAGGCACCACTGTATAGCGATAGAAGTGATTCACTGCAATGATTCCTACTAGAAACGGGCACTTAGCATGGTTCAGCACTTTGGTGTGGTTGTGTGAATTGGGCCCACAAGTGTTGCACAGGCACCCTGAATTCCACACCCTGCCTCGTTTCACAGACGCCATGTCAGAAGCTAAACCACTGGCTCTCAGGCTTCCCTGTGAGGCACCACTGTATAGCGATAGAAGTGATTCACTGCAATGATTCCTACTAGAAACGGGCACTTAGCATGGTTCAGCACTTTGGTGTGGTTGTGTGAATTGGGCCCACAAGTGTTGCACAGGCACCCTGAATTCCACACCCTGCCTCGTTTCACAGACGCCATGTCAGAAGCTAAACCACTGGCTCTCAGGCTTCCCTGTCCCACTTCCTGAATTCCACACCCTGCCTCGTTTCACAGATGCCATGTCAGAAGCTAAACCACACTGGCTCTCAGGCTTCCCTGCCCCACTTCCTCCTCTGAGTGGGTGCCTGCAGAATGAAGCAGGGTGTGGAATTTGTGGCACCCAGTTGCACATGTGGACCTACTTTGGTAAACTGTACTGAACCATAAGTGTCCATCTCTAATCCCTACCACCATGAGGAATCTCCTAAGAAAGGACATTAGCTCTGCAGCAGATACCCTGTTCCCCCGGAAATAAGACCTAACCTGAAAATAAGCCCTAGTATGATTTTTCAGGAATATAAGCCCTACCCCAAAAATAAGCCCCAGTTAACCCACTGAAAACATGAAAACCCACCCTTCACTATTGTGCAGCACCCAGAAGAAGATGACATGACTGCATTTGAATAAACGTAGACTGTGGTACATGAAAAAAATAAAGCATCCCCTGAAAATAAGCCCTACTGCATTTTTGGAGCAAAAATTAATATACCTTAACTTATTTTCAGGGAAACACGATAGAAAGGTGTCCCTTCTTCCAGTTCCATGGAAAAAGAAAACATACCCCTCAAAGCAAATTTTCTTACCCAACAAAACTCAAAATGTGAGTGTTTTCTTCCTCAGTTACCCCAGAATCAGGATAGAACGGTCCATTTCACAAAGACAATTTTCCTTGCTAAGTTTCATGTTGACAGATTACGGTATGTTATAGGGCGCTATCTGGATTTGTCAGTGAGTTGGGTACCTGGCTAGGAGTTCAGTTTCCCACTCTGCCTTTGGGGAAAGAGCCAGCCTGGGTGGCCTTGGGCAAGCTGCACAGTCCCAGGGCACCCCCAGAAGATGGAGATGGGACGCCATTTCTGAGTACTCTACACTGAAAAAAAGCCTGAACATTTCACCATGAGTCAGAATTAACTTGACAGCACACTATCATCAAGATGTAATAAGAGCCTAAATGCAGTGCTAGTCCTGATTAAAGCAGGCTCACTGAATTGTTTGGGTTTACATAAGGTCTGACGTTGTTTTCCGCAAGTAATTCAGCAATTCTAATCTGGCTGGGACTAACGACCGGATTTAAGATTGTGGTTTGTTCTTCTGTGTTATGTGTCATCAAATCATTTTCAATTTAGGGCAACACTAATAAGGCTCTTGAAGTATGTGAGGTGTTCAAAGAGTGGTTTACCACTGCCATTCAGCACTGAGTTTCTGTAATTGAGGATTTCAACCCAGATTGTTAGAGACCTAGTCTGACACCCTCACAACTAAACCACACTGGTTCTCATTTCTGGAAAGGCAGAACAACTGAAAATAAATTGGACTCAGTGATCCATCGGATCCCTTCCAGCTCAGTAGTTCTTAGGTGGTTAAATTCCATCTTATTTATGTAGCAACTGTTGCTACAGTAGGTAGGGGTATCTAAAAAAGAGGAAGGAAGGAGCTTATTCCCTCCCCCATAAATTCTACATCTATTTATTATAATAATGTACACAGACACACCCTGAGCCTTGGGCAAGCTGCCAAATCCTGAAGCTGAGGCTCCAAACCTTTGGCCATCTCATGAGAAGAGAAGACTCCCTGGAAAAGACCCTGATGTTGGGAAAGAGTGAAGGCAAGAGGAGAAGGGGACAACAGAGGATGAGATGGTTGGACAGGGTCATCGAAGCGACCAACATGACTTTGACCCAACTCCAGGAGGCAGTGGAAGACAGGAGGGCCTGGCATGCTCTGGTTCATGGGGTCACGAAGAGTCGGACATGACTTTACGACTAAACAACAACAACAACAACAACAACAACACAGAGACACACACTGTTATGGTGGAGCATGCCGTGAACACGAGTTATGCAAGGATAATCTTACCCTTATTATTTGCCAGAGCTCTAAAGAATGGGGGCACTGGCCGTCCCGCAACATCTTCTGGGTGGGTGGTGAGACCATCCTTCACTGCTTGGAATCCATTCAGTATAATCACAGGGCTTGACCCAATCCATAATGTATAGATGTCCCCATAGGATTTGGCAAACTGTAAGGAAATATCAGGAAAACCACTTCAGTGGTGATGCTCATCTTTCTTTCTCCCCTACCTCCCCTAGACAACTTGCCATTTCCAAACTTGCAGGCTGCTGCTGCTCTCACCCCCAGATATTCAAGTGAGTCCTCAGACCTAACTATGGCTGATTTTGAGTTCCATGAAGATCAAGAACAGCAGGCTCCGGAAGGGCCTATTCTCAGTCATCCCAGAGTACAGGACACATAATAATGGGCTCAAGCTACAGGAGGCCAGATTTGGGATGAATAGCAGGAAAAACGTCTTAACTGTTGGAGCAGTACGACAGTGGAGCCCATGATCTTGGGAGGTGGTGAGCGCTCCAACACTGGAGGCATTTAAGAGAAAATTGGGCCGCCGTCTTGTCAGATCGGCTTTGATGTGGATTCCTGCCATTGAGCAGGGGGCTGGACTCGATGGCCTTATAAGCCCCTTCCAACTCAATTATTCTATGATTCTAAAGAGGCGGGCCAACCTCAGATGAAAGTCACCTGGGGAAAGACAAGGGGTTTGGAGCTACATTACAGGTGAGAACCCTAAAAGGGGTGATGGAGGAGAATGGAGGGAGGGCTCAAGTCCTGAGGGCATTTAAGCCATTCCTCCTCTGAGCCCTCACCTTTGGTCCCCTATGGCGACTTCCTTTGAAAGAGACCAAATAAATATTCAAGGGCAAACCCCTGAGCCTGTCGTACCCCCTTCCCTTCCTCCAATAAACCCTGTTGCTGCTGAGCCAGACTGTGTGGAGTCAACACATATGGGAATGGAGGAGGGTTCACCCAACATTGGGGGTGGGTGGGTCGTACACAATGCACGATGGCCCATCAGGAGCCCAACGAACCTCCTTTGTGACTTGTTCTGGCATGCAAAAACAGATGCTCGTGTACACAGTCATTCAGGACACAGCACAAAGCATGCGGGGAGCCTTGTATTTCCCTTGGTCCAGCACCAATTGCTTCAGCCAGTGGTTAATCTCACTGCTTACATGTTGCCAAAAAAAATAAAATGCATTGTTGCAAAAGAGAACATGCATGTGCAGAATAGGTATAGTATGTAGGCATCGTTCAGTCTCGAGAGAGTAGGGTAACATGTTCTGAATACAAGGTCTTGGAACAGCATCTCATGTGGCTGAGAAGGCCAATTCAAGAGTGACCATCCCTTCCACCCTGAAGACAAATCCAATCTATCCCCTGTCCAGCTCCCTGATTTGGCTGGTTTCGGGACAGCCTCTTGGCCTCGGCCTGCTGGACAAGGGTCTCTTCAAATTGGGAGAGGCCGTGATGCACTCCAGGCTGCCTCCAGGCTGAACGCTCAGATGTCAAGGTTTCCCATCTGTGGAGGACCATTCCTAAGGCCTTCAGATCCCGCTTTCAGATGTCCTTGTATCGCAGCTGTGGTCTACCTCTGGGGTAATTTCCCTGCACTAATTCTCTATACAGGAGATCTTTTGGAATCCAACCATCGGCCATTCTATATGTATAGATGCACATGCACAGAATATGTATAGATGCACATGCACATGTGTATATATGAATAGGTATTGATGTGCATATGTATAAGAGCATGGATATGGCATCAACAGGGAAGAAGGATAGTTACTGTTGATGAGTGCATTCAAGGCCTCTTTTTCTCCTTGGGAGGGACTCCCAAGTTTAGACTAGAGAGCCCTTCATACAGGGAGGATGCATTCCTGAAGTGTCAGACTCAGAACTTAGATGTAACTTGTTACTTCTTCCAACACATTACGTCAATAACAGATTTGTTTTAGCAGCAATCATTATCATCCTCATTGTCGTCATCAGCAGCAGCAGCATCTTAGAACTGCAGAGCTGGAAAGGACCCTGTGGGGTCATCAAGTCCAGCCCCTATCAAGGAGGCCCAGTGGGGAAAATCAAACTCCCAACATCTGGCTGTGCAACCAGATGCCTAAACCACTGAGCTATCCAGCAGGAAGGGAGTTACTGTAGAGCACTTTCATGTATGGTGTCATCATCCCCTGGAGACCCAATATGGAAAAGGGGCTGTTGGACTTGATTAGAATGGAGCGAAGGTTTGGGTGTTACTGTTGACCGTTTCATTGGGACCCTAGGAAACACTCGCTGAGCTCATGCTAGTAGAATCGAGCCCGTGTACAACTGAATCTGCCCTCAGTGATCAAGGGGCACCTCCAAAACTCAAAATGGCAGAGAACGTACTGTAAATCCGTAGCCGAGGAGGAGAGGAGCGTGCACCAGCTGGTGAGTGGGGGGAATCCAGCTCGGAGGGCAGGAAAGGGGAATGTGTGGCCCCTGTGGTGACACCTGTACGAACTGGCACGAACCTCTGAACCAAAGTTCGTGCCCATTTCTTCTTTCCGCATTGTTATCCCTCTATGTAGTTTACTTTTTCATTTTACATTCTTAGACCCTCTTGCTGTAGTTTAGCCAAGTTAAACCCAGGATGAAGCTGGGGCCCCTTTGAAGCGTCGTCCAGAGCCAATGTTCCTCCTTTCTGTTAAGATACGGGAGTTGATCTCCTGCAAGGTGCAATCAGCCAGGGAAAGTCTAAAGATTGTATGCAAGGACTTCTAAGGCCATTAGATAACAATAATAACCCACACAGCTTTTCATATCTTCCACCCCATTCAATACGCTACATGTTTTGTTTCACCTTTCTATCTTGGGGTTCATCTATTCTCTTGATTGGAGAAGGCCCTTCTGACATGATGGTTGGGGGGAGTCATATGGAAGAAGATAGAAGGGACTTGTAAGTACATGATAGGCAGATTTTTTTTCTTTCTTTCTAATCATCTTTTTCCTTCCTGTAACTTTCTATCCTTGGGCTGCCCGTTTTTCTGTATTTTTGCTACGTTCTGAATAAATTAATTTGACCACCATGTATTTTGCCACTGATCCCACTGGGCCACAGCACTAGGGTGGCTGACCCTAGCCACAGCATAATTTGCTAATCTGGTAGATTTCTTATACTACTGAGATCAGGTTAGATCAAATTAAATTGGTGTATCCTTGGCTGTGATTTCCAGGGTTCATGGTTGCTTTAAAAAGCAGGGCAACCCTATTTCTTCATTCTGGCCCAGCCTCACTGCTGCCATAGCCCAAGTCAATAGTATTAAACAAATTCTTGCTGGAACTCCAAAGGGATGTATTTCAGCAATATTATTTTATAAAGTGCCTTTCAGGATAGGTAAGGGTGTAACTACATGGCAGTTTATCCCGCTGTTTGGTCCGCTCTGGGCATGGGCTGTTTCACTCCTTTTCCAGGCAGCCACATGACAATAAGTACCAGCATGGATAAGCTCGTACCCATCCTACCTGCATCTTTTTGGCTCCCTGTCAGGATTTACTCTATTTTAGATGCAGGTAGGATCACTCTGTTTCGTTTTGGTTGCAGCACGTGCAGTCACTCGAATCAAGTCAAGAAGGATGGCTTGATGCTTTCGATTTCCCATCTGCTTTTAATTTCCCAGTATCATTAAGTGGCTTAAGCAGACAACTTAGCCATTTAATGATAGTGGGAAATTAAAATCTTCCTCTGCTTCTCCATGGAGGGGGAGAAAAAGGAAGCAAAGGTTGTGGGGGAGGAGTTTAAGCCTATTACACCAGCATTGGTACACTGTACCTTTTTTGGGGTGGGTGGGAATGAAAACTTCCTCCCAGAAAGATGAGACAGGATGAATTGAAGAGGTGTATTTTTGTTTGTTTTTGTGAGGAAGAAGTAGGAAAAGCATCAAAGAGTGAGCCGTCCCCTCAACCATCCGAGATAGATCAAGAGATAAAGCCTGAAAGGGAGTTAGGAGCAAGACGTAAAGAAAAGCAAATAACAGATGCGCGCGCCAAGGAAGAGAGAAAGATCCGCGAGGCTGAGATAGGAGAGTGGGAAGGCGGGGGAAAGCGTGAGGAGGAGAAACGGAAGAAACGGTCAGAGGCGGCAGTGGAGAGAGAAAAGGGAGATTGGAGCAGTAACAGGGAGAGTGTAGACGTATTTTTGACAACAGAAGAAGGGAATAGATCAAAGGAGACACAAAAAGTAACCGTGATAGAGGAGAAAGTGACTGAAGAACCAGACGAAGGAATAAGGGTGTTCTCAGTCCCACAGAAGAGACTAGCCGAGGGTGACATAGATGAAGAATACAAAGATTCGGCGAAAGGAAAGTTCAAACCTATAATACCTGGCCTTAGCCCTGAAGAATGGACAGTTCTGGCATATCACAGGGCTCACGGTCCAGAGAAAATGGTATATCAATTCAATCCGGAAGTAGAGAAAGAGCTGTTGAAAGAGGGGGATTGGGCCCGCCATCCCTGTTGCGGGACCCTATGTGTGGTCTGCGACGGATTCATGAGAATGGCAACCGAGAAAGAGAAAACTGTGAAAACTTACTATTAAAAGATTTACCTGTTGAGAAATCGTTAGCCTGGTTTTGGGACGATTCTCCACCCGATTTGACATTAGAGAAACCAGTTGAAGTTGAAGAACGAGTTAATACAAGTTATGTTTAAAAAATGCTTTATTTCATAATCCTGAAGCCTCTTTCGTCTTTCCTGAAGTAGAATATCCTAAGAATAGTGCAGAACCCCACACACACACATTGGCGCCCAACCTGGGGCTGGTTCGGAAGCACCAACCGAAACGGAAGAAAATTTAAAACAAATAATAACACGACAAGAGAAAATGATAAAATTCTTAGCAGAGCAACAAAACTTTATTTTATCGCAGTTGGCAAAAAAATGTGAAAAGAAGACGTCAGTAAACAAAGACATTTTAAAGAACCATTGGGTGGCGGGTCCAGCTCCAATTAGACTACAGAAGATGACAGCTGAAGATGATCCCGAAGCTTACTTAAATACTTTTGAAAGAGCCGCATTGGCGGCAGGGTGGCCGAAAGAACAGTGGACTTTAATTCTGACTCCCTGTCTATCTGGTAATTTGCAAGAAATAATTGACACATTATCTCCAGCAGAGGCTATGCAATATAATAAAGT